TCTATCTATCTATACTATTTATATAAGCAAATGTAGTATGCTCTTAAAATTCTCTAAAACTCCAATACTAATATCTCAAGGGTTCTCTCTCCTACGTGACACTTCCTGGAATCTCTCTACCTCATTTTTCTAATTTTCAATTTTTTTTAATATAATAAAAACAATGATTCTAGCTTTTTACCTTTGCTAAATAAAATTAAATAAAAATAAAAAATATAACCAAGAGATGAAAAGAAAAAATGAAGAAGCAAAAAATAAAAGGATAAAATCTCACATAGTTATCAATTATCTCTTTCTAAAACAAACTTACAAAAAATAATAATAATAATAATCAAGAGATGAAAAGAAAAAAAAAGAAGCAAAAAATAATCCTTATCTCTTTGCTAAAAAACTTTAAAAAATAATAATAAGGGAAAATTATTTAAAAGTCCTATTAGGGAGACTTATGCTACATATGGTCCTACTAAAAAACTTATGTTTCCATAAATCCTGTGGGAAGTTTGTTGACACATTTACCCTCAATATTAGTTGTTAATATCATAAATAATAGTAAAACCATATATAAGAAATTGAATATTACCATAGATCATATTTATATAAACGTAGCGTAACGTAACGTGACACCTATGATCTATGGTAACATGATTGCATGTTACCATAAATCATATTTACATAAACGTAACGTAATGTGACACATACATAAACGTAACGTGACACCTATAATATATGGCAACATTCAATTTCCTATATAGATCATATCTACAAAAACGTAACGTAACGTGACACCTACATAAACGTAACGTGACACCTATGATCTATGGCAACATTCATAGGAAATTGAATGTTGCCATAGATCATATTTATATGAAATGTAACGTGACACCAACATAAACCAGTAACATTTTCCCATTCAATTTTAAAAAATAAAAACTCATTAAGTTTGCGAAACGTAACGTGGCACGTTACGTTACGTTTATGTAGGTGTCACGTTATGTTACATTTATGTAAGATCTTGTGGAATACATTTCTATCTAAATAGGACTTGAGACTCTATAAGAAATTACACAGGACTTAGCTTACCATAAGTATCTGAAAAATGACTTATAAATAAGTCTCCCTAATAATAATAACCAAGAGATAAAAAGAACAAAAAATAAAAGGATAAAAATCCCATATAGTTATTCTTATCTGTCTTCTAAAAAAATCTAAAAAATCTCCTCTCACGTTCTTCTTCCATCTCTATAAATAGTTGTATTATTCTCGCTAAAATGAAACTAAAAAGGGTGGGGGAAAAACTCACCACCATTGCTCTTTGTTACAACAATATGAATACTTCTTTATATCTTTCTAAAAAACACTTAAGCTCAAACCTGTTCATCTACAATTTACTTATAGAGATATGGTATGTCACTAAAATTCTAAAGGTTTTGTTGTCTTTTACTTTAATTTGTTTTCATTAATTAATCCATAGATAAGTTAAAAGGTGATTTTTTTTCTTCTCTAACATTTTTCAAGTATGTGTTTTATGTTTTTATTTTGTGTTCATATTGAATCACTTTTTAAAGATCGTACAATCATTTCTCTATTTTCATAATGTTTTCTTTTTCAAAGATTTTGGACAAAAAAAAGAGCAATGGCAGTGTTGTAGTTATCATCCCAATAAGTGTTTTTTTTGAACAGCAAAAACAACCCTTTATTGATGAAAATTGCCAAGTAGGAATTACATCAAAAAAGGAAGAGGAAGTGCAAAAGGCATCAAAGCAATCCGCACGATCCCAACTAGGTTGGCACCACGAGGAAAGCCCAATCATTTGCCAGCACATCACAAGGTTGAAGAGAGAACAACCACAAGATACAAAAAAAACCAGAACACCAAAAGCAGTCCACCAACATACTCCCCTCTGCATCAGTCCAGCAGACCACTCCCACAACCACCAACAAAACTCCCATCTGCATTAGACCAGCATCAGTCCAAAACACCAAAAGCAGTCCACCAAAACATGCACCATCACAGCAGGTGGCCTGCAAAGAACACCCTCAGATTCCAACAGACCTGACACCAATGCAACCACACTCTAGAGAAACCAAAGCCAAAACAGAGCAATATACAATAGAAAACCTCCCAAACCAAAACTTGTGCCTTAGAGTAGAAATACAATCCTGTTGCCAAGAAGAACAAGTAATTCGATGATGAATTGATGCACCAACACAGCAACCACCAAACATGCACCATCAGTCCAGCAGACCAGTACCATGCACCAGCATCAGACCATCAATCCAGCAGACCAGAACCATGCACCAACACAGCAACCACCAAACATGCACAATCAGTCCAGCAGACCAGTACCATGCACCAGCAGCAGTCCATCAGTCCAGCAGACCAGAACCATGCACCATCACAGCAGTTGACCTGCTTAGAACACCCCCAGATTCTAACAGCTTCCTGTGTATACAAATCCCAGACCTCACACCAATGCAAAACCAGCAGACCTGACTCCAATGCAACCACACTCCAGAGAAACCATAGCCAAAACAGAGCAATATACAGCAGAATACCTCCCAAACCAAAACAGCAGCAAACACAAAAATAAATACTGAAAACACCAATATTCAAGGACATCTCAATCATCACCAATGTAAAATACTGACCAAACAAAAACTAAAAATAGCAGGTGGTTCACAATATCCCTACTGCAGAACAGACTTACTCAGCCAATACCCCTACTGCAGAACCTTACCTGTTGCAGGTGGTTCACAATATCAGTTACTGAAAACCCTGAGAAAAAAGAGCCAGCAGCTTTGCTCCACATCGCAACTCGTACTTTGATGACCTCACACAGCTCCTCAAAATTTGGGTGAATGCCATTAAAAATGCAATAATTTCTCAGTTTCCAAATGGACCAAAGCACAGCCAGAGGCAAGGCCTTCCAGACCACTCTCTTGTTTTTTCATCCTTGTACCAGCCCACCATTCTAATAAACAATGTACAGTACCAGGTTGAGCCCATAGAAACCCCCACCAATTTATCATATATGACCAAACCTTCCAAGCAAAAGGGCAATGTAGAAGCACGTGATTGACATTCTCCACTTCTACATTGCAGAAAATGCAATTCACATTAGCCTCAACAGAGAGCACTTTAATTCGATGCAAAAAGCTAGAAGTCTTTATCCTCCATTTCCATGCCAACCAACCAAAGAATTGAGCTCTAGGTGAAGATACATTGTTCCATATCAGATCTGTTACCTTACTCATTGTATGTAAGGAATTATCACACCACGTATAAGTTGAGGAAACAGTGAAGCTTCCTGATGGGTCTGCTTTCCAATGCAAAGAATCAGCCCTATCTTCCCTAAGATCTGGAGCATTCATCAGCAGCAGTTTCAATCTATTCAAATCCTCTACCTTCCACTGAAAGAGTGATCTTCTGAAATTAAGGTTCCACTCCACCTCGCTATTCCTTCTAAGATGCATCATGTTCACAGATTCAAACTTATCCAAAGACAAGGAATAGAGCCTAGGGAAAGCTTCCATCAAGCACACATTATTGCACCATGTACCTCCCCAGAACAGAGTGCTTTTCCCATCCCTAATCACTGGAGCAGAGTTTTCTTTAAAGAATTCCACCAACTCAGGTCTGGTTCGAGCAACACCCAAAATGCCAGCCCAGATACATGAGTTCCTAGTGTTATCAACAGGTTTTGGACACCACCCAACACCCACCTGATTGTATTTGTTATGAATCACCTGTTTCCACAGAGCATTAGGTTCAGCCCCAAACCTCCACCACCATTTCAACAAGAGACAATCATTCATAAGTCTAATCCTTTTTACCTCTAAACCCCCCTGCTGTTTGCTTTTTGAAATGACCTTCCATTTGACCAAATGTATTTTCTTTCTAGAGCCATCCCCTCCCCATAGAAAATTAGATTGAATTGACACAAATTCCTTAGCAACCCCTGCTGGCATTTTGAACAAAGATAGATAATAAATGGGTAAGCTAGACAACACAGATTTAATCAAAGTCACCCTACCAGCAGAGAGGAATCTTCTCTTCCAAGAAGCAAGTCTTTGTTTGCATTTGGCTAACATTAGCTGCCAGGTCATTTTTGACCTTGGACTTGTGCCCAGAGGGAGACCTAAGCACTTCAGGGGCAAACTTTGATGTAGACAATTAAGCTTATCAACAAAATCCTTGGATGCTTCATCTATTAGCCCAACTCCACACACCACACTCTTGTGGTAGTTAATTTTTAGGCCTGACAACACTTCAAAACATCTCAAGATCCTCTTTATGTTAATAACTTCCCCCTATCAGCTTCACAAAATAGAATTGTGTCATCTGCAAATTGTAGGTGGGTGATCCTAAAAGCACTTGTTCCAACTGCTGCCCCTTTGATCAACCCCATTTGATTTGCTCTTACTAGTAGGATATTTAGGCCCTCAACCACAATGTTAAAGAGGAAGGGGGATAAAGGGTCACCTTGTCTGAGACCTCGTTGTGGGCTAAATTCTGAGGTTGGTGAACCATTTACCAAAATAGAAACTCTGGCTGATGAGACACACTCCCTCATCCAACTAACCCATTTAACCCCAAAGGCAAAATTTGAGAGCATAGTAAACAAGAAATTCCAATTAATTGAGTCATAAGCCCTTTCAAAGTCTAGCTTTAGGACAATGCCACTCTTTCTACTCTTCTTTCAGCCATCCACAATCTTATTGGCTATCAACACCCCATCTAATATGTTTCTACCCCCAATGAATGCTGATTGTGTAACACTAACAATTCGAGGCAACACTGTTTTGATTCTTTTTGCTAATACTTTAGCCAAAATTTTATACAAAGATCCAATGAGGCTAATAGGCCGGTAATCATTCAAACTAGAGGGGTTTTCATTCTTAGCAATCAAAGCAACAAAGGAGCTATTAATGCCTTTAACAAGTTTTGCATTTTGGTGAAATTCCTTCATGAATTGCAACACATCTGCCTTGATCACCTTCTAACACTTTTTAAGCATCATAAGATTAAACCCATCCAGACCCGGTGCTTTGTTTCCTTCACAACTTTTAACCGCAGCTTCAATCTTAGCTTCTGAAAACTCAGCTTCCAAGTGCTGGACATCTTCTGTACCCCCAATGGATAAGAAAGGCCCAGATAGCCTCGGTCTAATACGCCATGATTCAGTAAATTGGTTAATAAAATGTTGAACTGCAGCTCTTACCTCCACAGGATCCTCCTTAACAATTCCATTAACTACTATTGAGCACAAAGAATTTTTGGTTCTCCTAGAACTAGCCATAATATGGAAAAATTTTGTGTTCTTGTCTCCTTGTGTTGACCATGTGATTCTAGATTTTTGTAACCATGCCCATTCCACCATTTTACTTAGTTTCCAAGCTACGCCTTTAGCCTTTCTTCTTTTAGCTTGCTCTACTTTAGATAAAGGTCTTTCTTCAGCACTTAAATCAAGTGCATGAATCTTCTCTTCAACTTGATTAAGTTTATGCTCCACATCACCAAAGACTTCTTTATCCCACTGCTTCAAAGCCATTTTTAATATTTTGAGCTTCTGGAGACACTTGAAACCAGCCCATTCCATCATATTAGCTTCTAGCCATGTATTCTCCACAAAGGGCCTGAACTTCGGATGGAGGGTCCAAGCATTTAGAAATCGAAATGGAGTTGAACCCCAATCTCTCTCATCCTCCATCAACAGAGTAGGACAATGATCAGAGACCTTCCGAGGCAGCCCCCAAAGCTTAAAATTAAACATTTGTAACCATTCTGGATTGAGCAAGAACCTGTCAATTCTACTCTATTTCTCCCCCTCCTGAGAGTTACACCAGGTAAATTTTTTGCCCATCATAGGTAGATCGGCCACTTCAAGATTATCAATTAGCTCATTAAACTCCCTCATCCCTTTATCTCGTCTAGAACACCCCTTCCTTTCTGATATATTCTTGATCTCATTGAAGTCTCCTCCCAAGCACCAAGGTTTATTGTAGACCAACTTTAATTGAACCAAGCTATCCCACACCACCTTTCTCCCCCCCAAATCATTTGGACCACAAATATTTAAAATCGCACAATCAAAGCTGTTGTAGAGAGTACCTGATAAAATTATGAAGTTCCTATTACTGCAGCAATCAACCAGTTGAAACACTTCTGGGTTCCAAATGCATAAGAGGTCACCAGCAGCTCCTGCCGAGTCAACTTCCATGAAATCCATTTGTTCTCTGCCCCAGATTGATCTGATAAACTTTTCATCAATGCTGAATCAACTGCCATGAAATCCATTTGTTCTCTGCCCCAGATTGATCTGATAAACTTTTCATCAATTGTGGATCTCTTGGTTTCTTGAAGTAGCACCATATCCACCATTCTTTCAAAAAACACTTGTTTAATCTTCCTCCTTTTCTCAGGCCTTCCTAACCCTCTTACATTCCAAGATAAAAGCTTCATTAAATAACATTTTTCAGCTCCTAAACACCTAGAGCAACTGCTTAACAAGCATCCCCACCCCTGTTCCTTATTTTATCCTTGTCATGTGCTTCCAAATCCATTAATTTGCTAAGGACAACATCATCATCCCCTTCACAGTTCACACCAAGGATGCGCCAATTTGGAGTGATGCTTTAGCCTTAGTGAGTAGCAGTCTCCTATTACTTGATTCAGGTGCCACTGAGAGTGAGAGAGCTGCCACCGCCGACCTAAACACTGCCCCAGGTGCCACTAGAGGGTTCTTGGATTAGCTCCCTCTTGTTGGCTATTCTCTTCTGGATTGAATCTGCAGAAGAACCCAATATCTCACTGCTAACCTCTTTCTCATTACAGGCTAGTGTTTCTTCACCACTGCAAGGTTGGATAGAATCTTCTAAATTGGATTGGGCCCCCCAGTGTTCTAAGATCAGGTGCTCTATGGGTTTGTGTTTCCACGCAGTTCACTTCATGGGCTTTAGTCAAGACAACCTCAATGTTAAGCCCAGGCCTTATTATCAGATCCACTTAGACTTTTTAAGAGGCCTGGGTTACTGGTATCATCAGCAACAGACCTATTCACCCCATTTTGAGCATTGATAGAACTCATCACCAGAGCTACCTCCCTACCCACGCATGCGCCCCCAGAAATTGCTTTCCCCATGCTGCTGACAGTTTCACCCACCACAAATGAGCTCTTACAACTAGCCTCCCCTTCCATGCCATTATAATCATCATTGCTTGGAACATTAATCCTTCCTACTGTGTCTTCATTATCATCCACCTCATTGCCAACTTGTGCCTCCACGTCATCATCATTATCTTCCTCCTTACTCTCTGTACCCACCATCTAGGTAACTTCATCCCCATAAGAACTATGTTTAGCACTATTACCATGTTGATGGTGACAAATACAGTGTTTATTCACCACCTTCGCAGTAACAATCTGATCTTCACAAACTTTTACCGAATAAAGTACCCCTTTGCAGTCCAAATTGATTGTTTTGTTGATGGATTCCATGCACTTCGTGACTATTCTTACCTTGCCGCAGATATAGTTTTCCATATTGGACGTATCATCAACCAAACCAATCACTTCCCCCTATAATCTGCCTATTGAATGAAAGGTGTTGTTGTTCCAAACATTTAAGGGCACCCCATAACGAATCCGGATCCTTGGCCGCCCTACCCGGCAGCCCCCCAAAACGACGTCGTTTTGGGGGTTTTTTGTTTTTTGTTTTTTTTTTCTTTTCTTCTTCTTCGTTCTTGCTTTCTCTCTCTTCGAAACCAGAGGGGAGGGAAGAGGGAGAAGAGGGAGAAAGGAGGAGGGAGGAGGCTACGAGCTCGCCATCGCAGCTCGTCGCCTCACCGCCGGCCGTCGCAGCCGTCCGATCGTCGCCTGATCCAGCTCGTCGCAACAGCTGCACCGCCGTCGCCTCCGCCTCCTCCTCCTCCTCCTCCCCCACTGGTTATGGCCCCCTCCAGTCCGGCCCTTCCCTTCCTCCTCCTCCTCCTCCCTCCTCCTTCCTCCCTCTTCCTCTCCTTCCTCCCTCTCTTCCTCTTTGTTTTTTTTTTTTTAAAAATTTGCCCCTAAAACGACGTCGTTTTGGGGGCTGCTGGAAACGGCTACCGGGTAGGGCGGCCGAGAATCCGGACTCCCCCATAACAGCTTAACCAGACATCTCTTTCTTGTGCAATAGCCATCCCCTGTTTCCATTCTGTAACTGATTCGTACCATTCCTTAGCCCCAACCTCCATTTGCTTGAGTTTTTCTCGCATGCTTTCCACTGATGGAAATGATAGAACTATGTCTCTACCCCTTCCTTCTCGAACCTCAATATCCTCGAAGTCTCTATGCCTCAGTTCTTTTTTGAAATCTGTCCCACAACACATCGGTTTTAATCGCACAATTGTACTATTGTACAACCATCCATTCTCTGCTTCATATACTTTTACAATTAAAGGTGCACTAACGACAGACCCTTTCCCACTTACAACCAAGGCAAAAGATTCCTTACCTTTTAGCTTCCAAGACACCAATCTTGTACCTCGCATTTCCTTTCTTTGAGTTACGCTCTGTACAGGCCTTTTCTGTGCGTTTACACGTCGAACAAACTCTGCAACTTTCACTGTCAACGCTCTAGTATCACACCATAATCCATTTGCTTTCTGGACTGCCATTCTTGCTGTGATTATGCAATTATATCTCACGAATCCAAACCTGGAGCGCATCATCTTCCTTCTTTTATGTGGTATGAATACATCCTGCACCACTCCGAAATGGGTAAACAAAGTATATAACCCTTTTGGGTCCATTGACTCTGGTAGATTATCAACGAAAACCGTGTGGATGCCTGAATCCAACCTTTGATGTTTATTCCCTTCACCTCCGTGCTTGCGAATCACTGGTTTCCAACCTCCTACCTCACAAGCCATTTTCTCTCTCTCTAGACCAGGATTGTTTGCCTGAAATCTTAGGATAGCCTACCCTCCAGTCGGAACGCCAATGGTGTTACATGCTTGTGGATATCGTTATGTAAGAAGAAGAAGAAGAAGAAGAAGAAGAAGATGATGATGATGATGAAGAACTAGATGGAAAAGTAGAGAATATGAGAATTTGAATTAATGCGCAAAATTGATTCTTTATGTGTATGAAGTTGATATTTTTTAATTTTTTATTTGTATTATTTTTAAATTTAAACATTTATTTGGTTATTACTATTTTTTTTTTGAATTATGATTGTATTTATACATTATTTAATTAAATAAAAACCAAAATTATAAGGTATGCACGGGAATCTCTTGGAAGAAGAGTTTTAGAAGCTCCAAACTTCAAACTAAATTTGTTAATTTTTTAAAAAGTTTTAATCAATGAGTTTTGAAAGCATAAAAATTTCAAATTAAAATTTTCAATTTTTAATTACCTAAAAAATCTATTGTTTAGTTCCTTTGCTCCTTTGTCAATATGCCACAAATAATTAAATATATATTGGTTTGAAGTCACATTACACATTAAAAATTGTTAAAAATTGATATGATATCATGATTTATACTATTATTAGAAATAAGCTCTTTAAAACAATTAAACTATCTAATTGAATTATTTGTTACAATGTAATCATAACTTTTGGCCAAAATTTAAAATAATTTTAATACTATTTGTCTAAAAACACCTATTATTAGAAATACGTTCCGTTTGTTTAAAAATAAATGGATGATAGAAAATAAAATTGGTAGAAAGTAAAGTGAAAGAAACGAAAAAGAAATAAAAATTTATTTTCTTGTATGCATTTAAATAGATGAAAAATTTTGTAAGAAAATTATAAGAAAAAATATAATCAATGTATAACAAGGAGTTGTATAGCCTAACTAACAAGTTAATTTGAGTTGTATATAAAATTTTAGTTTTCATTACTTTCGAGGACTCTCTATCTAAGAAAACACATAATTTTATTTTATTTTTTTTCACTTTCATGTATTATCTATACAAGCAAACTAAGGTTTAAAATTGAAAATATTCCATTAAAAGTTGAAACTACTGCACAATTTCAAAATCTTTATCAAAATATCCAATTCTTTAGAATCTAAATTACATTCATTGATGTGGATTTTTTAGAAAAATAAGTTTGACCTTTGAATTTTGAATTTATACAAAAGCAATTATTATAAAATTTTGGATTTCCATAAAAGATAATTTAAATAGATTTGTTCACTTTTTCAATTTTTTTCTCTACAAATTCCAAATGCAAATTTGAGTGATTATGTGAGAGCACTAATTAGTGCTATCACTAATGATGTGGCTGTGGGCCCCACCAGGAATGATTTGATGTTTTGGCCTTGGTGTTGTATTTTTTTTCTTTTTTTATTGAGTGCCATGTCATTAGTGGTCTTTTTAGAGTTTCAAAATTAGTGGTCTCTATCATTGTTGAATCGATAAACATGTTGAGATATTTTGAAAAGATGGTTAAAAGTTGACTTTTGACTTTTTTTAAAAAGTGATTTGAGAAGTTGATAAAAAATTGCTTTTGACTTTTTTATTAATATTTGTTTATGATGTCACATCACAATAAAATTACTAAACTATTCCCACCTAATGTAGAAAATTTATATTTTTATCCATGTAAATATAAAAAAATATAAAGGATATAATTGTAATTTTATATGTAGTTTTTTTAGACTTGTCAAATGACTCCTTGCTAAAAAAATATATTACATTTGAAAATTAAGATTGCTTGAATCTTCAAGACCTTTTTGTGTAGAGATATTCTCATCGAAAAAGAAGTATGAAACTACGTT